CGGCAGCACGTTGAGCAGAGACATTACGCCGGGGACGTAGCAGACGACCCAGAGCGGCAGCGCGGCTTCCGGTACGAAGATGGTGAGCGGGAGCAGCACGCAGAAGAGCAGGAAGGAGTAGAAGGGGAGGACCATCTTGCGGAGCAGGAAGAAGAGGAAGATGAGGTGAAACTTTTTCCACAGGGAGATCTGCGGTGAGGAAAGGGGAGAGGGACGGGCGGGAGGGAGGGAACGGGTTGAAAGGCGGAAGGGCGGCGAGAACGGAGCGAGCGGGTGAGGAGGAAGAGCGGCGCGTGAATAGAACGAGACAAGGTCAGTGTGACACATCGGGCCTTAGCGGCCACACACGCATGACCACACGCACCCACCCACCCACCTTAGCGGCGACGATATCCCCGAGGCACAGCCGGAATAGCTGCATGGGGCCCGAGTGCCAGCGATGCTGCTGCTTCCGGTACGCCTCGTACGACTGCGGCAGCTCGCACTGTACCTCCACGTCGTTCAGGAACACGAAGCGCCACCCCTTGAGATGCGCGCGCACCGCTAGATCCATATCCTCCACCGTCGTGCGATCCAGCCACCCGCCGCTATCCTCCAGCGCCGCGATTCGCCACACGCCCGCGGTGCCGTTGAACCCGAAGAAGCCGAGAAACGCGCCGTTGACCTGCTGCTCGATCTCGAAGTGAAACGCGAGGTTCACGTGCTGGAGCCGCGTTAGGAGGTTCTCCTCGCGGTTGACGAAGCTCCAGCGCGCCTGGACTAGCGCCACGTCGGGCTGGTCCTTGAAATGCGGGACGGTCCGTCGCAGAAAGTCTGGGCGCGGCTGGAAATCCGCGTCGAAAATGGCGACGAACTCGTACTTTCGCACGTAGTCGCACGCCATCGCGCTCGCCAGGTTACCCGCTTTGTAACCCTTGCGGTCCGTCCTGTGGCGGTACACGATCGGCGCGCCTCGCGCCGCCCACGCTTCCACCTCCGCGCGAATCATATCCGCCGTCTCCTCGTCACTGCTGTCGTCTAAAACCTGCACCAGGAACCGGCTAGCCGGCCAGTCGAGCTGACACGCGGCAGCAATCGACTGGTCGTAAACCTCACGCTCGTTACACATCGGAATCTGGACTAGAACCATGGGGAAAGCGTCGGATGCGGGGCGCTCGGGGTCGGCTGCTGCATCTGTTTCGTAACGTCCCTTGGGTTGCGGACGGTAGCGGGTGAGGAAAAGGTACAAGCCACCCAACGCAAGCACGAGACGGTCGACGGATTGCAGAAGGAAGAGGTAGATGCAGAAATCCGTCGCCCACTGCAGCGGCCGACCGATCCATATCGCCCTGCGACGGCGACGACAGGAAGAGGGCGACGAGAAGGGCGACGATAGGAAAGAGGGCGACGAAATGAGGGGAAAGCGCGAAGAGAGTATCAAGCAAGAAAGAACATCCCGCATTAGCAATCTAGAAACAGCCCGTGCGGCAGTCTATTACCGAGTCACTCCTTACCGGAAACTCAGCCAGTGCCCGTACATCTCCGCGGCCCACACCTCCAATCGCGTCACGGTTCTTTCCCGCCCGTGGTACAGCCAGTGATACCACTCCCACTGCAACTCGCCGCTGTGCGCGCACACTTCCACTATCAGCAGCAACACGGAAACCAGCAGCAAAACCCGGAGGCCCAGCAGAATCCCCTTCCCGCCTCCGCCGGAACCGGTGAATCGAGACTTGCCGCCGGCGAGAGGACTCTGGCTCTCGTCGTAATCGGAATAGTACCCGTCGTCGTCTTCGTCGTAGTCGAATTCATCTACGCCGTCCATTGCCGGATCGCCACTCTCAGTCCCTTTGCGCGCCAATAACCGTTCATGCACGGCTGACGTCAGCGACAGGAAGCCCGACGTCATCCACCGGAAAATTCCCGCCGCGCGCTGAGCCCGGAGCCACAACAGCCACGTCACCAGCTTCGCGCTTCGGACTCGCGCGGGCTTACTTAGTGAGCTGGACTCCCGGTCTCGATAACCGGATTCTCCGGAAGCAGAGAAAGCGGGCGGAGTCGTTGCGCACACCGGGGTATGCGGAGAGTCAAGGGGGGAGTCGCCTCTCAAGGTACAACCAGTCTCAGCTTGCGCGCTCACGCCGGATCTAAGGCTGGACGCGTCATCGGCGCCGCCAGACGCGGAGAGCAGCGAGTGGCTGCTGGTGCGGGGAATCGGCAGCGTCGGAAACGCTGGGAAAGGAGAGAACGGCGACGCGGGTGGGACATTGTGGGGCGTCCGATGGGGGCACGCAGAGGAGGGTTCGACGTCTTGTGATGGCAGTGAGAGGACGGATGGGCGAATGCGTGAGACGGCAATGTTCGCGGGACACGAATCCACAGGAAAGGTACTGGTCGAAGCGCTATTCCCGCGTGAACTCTGTGCACCAGGAGTAGATCCTCCTGATTGGTTCTGCGGAACGCCTCCGACGCTGATTCCGTTGCCCATACGGTTCCACATTGATTTGGGCGCGTCGAACTGGAATACGTTATGAGTCTCACAATGGCGGTTGTTAGGATCCGTATCGTGCGCCATTTTGCAGTGGCTGGGCAGCCACGCACGCGATTTTACCGTGCTGAGCTTTGGAAGTCAAGGCAAAGGAGCGACGGAGTCACAGGAAAGCTGAGGGAGATTCGAGAGAAGTTTGAAGTATCGTGGGAATTCGAGTGGAATGCGAGGATTTGGAGTAATTGAGGGGGATGGAACACTAGAAGATACACTTGGTGCAATTTCGGAACTTTGCTACGTATGTCGCGTCGCGTCGCGTTGATGGATTCCTTGATGGGTCATGCGTCGCGCGGGATGCTGAAGCAGACTGCGCCGTGGAAATCAGGTCATTGGCGAAGTGGGCTCCTGCGAAAAGAAGCGCCTTCGTAAGTCGGATGACCCCGTCAGAAACCACAGCTGGCGTCGGCTTCTGTCGTCAGCGTCGCCACTTTGACGCCTGCCACAGTTCTGGGTGCTGATGGCCGACTCGGGAATCGTCGCGACGGGTAGACGGGATTTCGCAAAGGAGCCGACCTTCACTGAAAATGCTGGTTTGGCGAATGGGTCAGATGTTTTTTACCGACCTTCCTTTCCAAATCATTTCGAATGACGAGCTTGTCGTACGGAACGACTCATTCGCCGACTGTTCGTCGAGGCGCTGGTTACCGCTGTGTCTCCAACGTAGCTTGCTCTGAAGCTTCAATGACGGCGCAATGTCCTTGCGCCTCTGACTAGGGGTGAACCACACGCTTGACGACTCCTGTGCCAGCCCAAAACGGCCATCGCTTGAAGGCGGTTTACAAAAAAGGCACAACGGGAGGGGCGCCAAGAAACCATTCGCTCTCACAGCGCGGAGTCCACGTGCAAGATGCAACTTGGGGGTAAAAAGGGGTTGTCTATTTGGCAGAGAAGCTAGAAATGTCTAGAATTGTAATGTAGTAAAAATCACAACCTGTAACAGAAACTTATCATTTCATCTGCTTACATTACAATAAACAATTGCTGCATTCCGTTATAATCCATCATGGATCCATGTGATGTGAGTTATCTGAAAAAATCTCAGAATATAAACATTGTTCATTTTTGAAATTATTTCATTATTTAATATAGTAGTAACTATTCAGTCGCTTGGTGTATCAAATATACATCCCTATAAGGGTCATAATTATGTAACACCTTGCCAGCAGGATGGTGCCTGCCGTTGCCTGCACCAACCAATCAGTTCAACTTGCCAGCAGGGTCTTCGAATCAAAGGCGCATTATTGGCGGCAGAAGAAGCTCATCAGCCACCACCCCAGACCAAGCGCGTTCCAGCAATTCGTGCCGCGCAACATGGCGGGCAGGTATTAGTTGCGCGGGTTTGGGGTTGGGGGGCACAGAGACAGTTCAGTTTATCCGCATAAGTCTGGTCGTCCGCTCCGCCTACTCCGCTGTCCTCGTCAGTTGTCGGTCGGTCGTTGGTCTTTCCGTCAACCTCGCGGGAGCCAGTCATGTCGAGCCTGCCACCCCGAGGCTGGGGACTGTATCAGAGTTCCCACACCGCTGTGATTTCAACAGACCTGTCAAACCAGATCACTGTATTGGGCTTCGATCGTTGTGCAAGAATTTAGAGTCTGGGGGACGAACCAAACCATGCGAGCCAAAACGTCCCTCTGGTGCCCGGCTCGGGAGCAGTCCCGCTTCCCAACCAATCACAAAGCCAACCTCGATTATTTCGTTTTTGCCGTGCCTCAATTAGGAGGGCATGGATGATCTCCCACCACCTAAACTCCCTCGAGTCTTCTTCAACCTCCCTTCCCCCCTTTTCCCTTCCTCCTTTCTCCCCTCCCCTCACCCCCCTCTCCCCTCCCCCCCTCCCCATCACCACTCCCTCCTCTGGAACGCGTTTCGCTACTTCCGTCCGTTGCTGCTGCGCTTTCCACTCCACGCAAAGTAGTGTATTCAAGAGGTTGCATGGCTTCTGCTGCGGATACGACGATTTGAGTCTCGATCGCCTGCCGTTGCCTGCTTCCTGCCTGACCAAGAAGTGGCTACATGTTCTCGGTTTCAGAGCAGTTCCTAGGTTTGACTACGACTGCCGTCTCTTAGACGGCTTAACTAAGATGAATTTGACGACCTGTAAAGGTTAGAATATTGCCATATCGAACTTCGACGATCGTCGTTGGTCATCGTCTCGCCAGGAGCCATGAATTTCCTTCATCGATCTCTCTCGGCGGTTATGAATCGTGTACAAAATCATCGTCTCCGAACAACCACCTGTTTTACGCCACTCGCATTCCTACTATTCTTAGTCGTTCTTCAACCTAGCGCAGCTGCAGCCAGCACTGATTCACCAGGGATTGGCCGGTCGATCCTGGAAGTCAGTGGGACTGAATCTGACAGCATCACCAAACGAAACCTTCCTTTTATTGCGGAAATGAACTATGGCTACTTCAAGCCGTCTCTCACACGAATCTCTGCATCCCCTGCACGGCGAAATCTGGTCGAAGCGCGGATGTGGCTTTACGGTCATGTGCTGACACAAGGGTAAGTCCTTCGTTGCTTTTCCGCTCATGTTCGGTCGCCGGTTCCACGAGCGTACACCCCGCGTTTTGTTACCTTTTCAAGAAGCAAGGACATCCGATGCATGGTTGACCCACAACCCACGCTGGGTTGTCCTTCCATGGCGAATTCGCGTGTCCATTTTTTCCTCCTTCCGCCGTGCTTTTTCTCCCTCCTCTTCACGTTCTAATCTCGCATCTCCACGGCTCGGTTTACAGCTACTATTACGCTAACCTGTGGTTCGGCACGCCCGGGCGTCGCTTCGCGGTGATCGTGGATACGGGCAGCACCGTGACCTACGTGCCGTGTGCCTCGTGCAGCGAGTGCGGTAGCCACCACCAGGTATTGATAATCCTCATAACTCGGTTTTAGAATTCAGGGTTAAGTTTACCTGGTTGTGGTTATGATGCCAAGGGTCGCAAATCGGGTCAAGTAACTGAACCTGAGAGGTTGCGCTCAGATCTGATATCCGGAAAAGTCAACAGAAACCCCGGGTTGCTGGGCATTTAATGATGGAACCAGATAACGCGAGTGTTGAAAGAGTTCTAACCAACCGGACCAGCTCCCAGAGTCCCTTTTTCGCGCTGCCCTTCCTTTCCTGGTTTTGTCACCTCTCCTCTAATTTCTCCTCCTCTTGCCGTTTGTTGTTCTCGAATGACCTTCGAACAATAGCTCCCCCTTCATCGGCCACTTAGTTCCGTCCCTGTTGGGCCTGATGATAATATGATGATCACAGGCTCTGTGTTCTGGAACCACAGACATGGAATCTCCCTTCGTCCCATATTCCCTTCGTTCCCTCCTCCCCCCAACTTCCGCCTCCTCCCTCCCGCACGTCTCCCCCTTCCAACCACTCTCCACCTCCCTCCACCGCGACCCGCAGGACCTGCCGTTCGATCCGCAGCAATCGTCGACGTACCAGTTCGTACCGTGCTCGTCGGATCAGTGCCCGTACCATGACTGCCAGGACAACTCAGACGAGTGCTCGTACGACCGGCACTACGCGGAGAACAGCAGCAGCAGCGGGCTAATCGTCTCAGACGTCGTCACCTTCGGAAACGCGTCGACCCTTCCGCCTGCGCGGATCCTCTTCGGGTGTGAGCTGGCCGAAACGGGCGACATTTACACGCAGAAGGCGGATGGAATCATGGGCATGGGACGCGGGGAGCTGGGGATTGTGAGCCAGCTGTCGGTGGGAGCGGGGAAGGTTATGGACGAGCAATTTTCGCTGTGCTATGGCGGGTCGGAGGGCGGCGGCGGGGCGATGATCATGGGGGCAATTCAGCCGCCTGCTGGGATGAAGTTTACACCGATGGATATGCGCAGGTGGGTGTGGGTGGTGCTTGATTGTGTCTGGTTTTCTGTTTATCTCGGATTTTCTCCTTTTTCTCATCCTCACCCTTATCCTCTCCCTTTCCCTCACCCTTATCCTCACACTCACCTCACCCCCACCCTCACCCTCCCCTCCCCCCGCTCTCCCTCTCCGTCGCGTGTTTCATCCCCACAAAACACGAGACGTTAGGGACGAGTGAATTAGATTTAGTAGAGAACAAGTGGGGCTGAAGGGCCTAGGTATTCACTTTCCATACTCCCGTCCCATATCCCCTCCTCCCATTCCCCCTCTTCCTACGGACCCCTCCCCCTCCGCCCCTCCATCTCCCCCTTCCCTCCCTCTCACCTCCGTACTGCAGTGACAGCACCAATCAAGGAGCTGAATCTCCCACGCATTCACTCCCCACTCCCGTCCCGTATCCTTTTTCCCCCCCCTTGCCCCCCTGTACCGCAGTGGGCCCACGTACCCTACTACAACGTGATTCTGAAGGCCATCAATCACGATTCAAGATGGACGGCAAGCCTCTTGATTCGACTCAACAAAATTAGCCTTTCCCTCTCCCTCCCCCCTGCACAGCAGTGGCGGCACGTACTACAACGTGATTCCGAGCGCCATCACGGTGGCCGGCAAGCCTCTCGAGTGGACTCAAAGGTTACCCTCCCGCTTCCCTCCTCCCACTCTTCCCTCTGTACTGCAGTGGCGGCACGTACTACAACGTGATTCTGAACGCCATCACAGTGGCTGGCAAGCCGCTGCCTCTGGACATGTCGGTGTTCCGGTCGGGGTACGGGGTGGTCATGGACAGCGGTACCACCTTCTCCTACCTTCCCCGCAAGGCCTTTGAAGCCTTCAAGGCTGCTGTGAGTGCAAGCGCCCCTTTGGAAGGGAGTTGAGATGGGTTGAGATGGGCTGCAACGTGATTGTGAGGAGCATCACAGTCGGGGTACGGGGTGGTCATGGACAGCGGTACCACCTTCTCCTACCTTCCCCGCAAGGCCTTTGAAGCCTTCAAGGCTGCTGTGAGTGCAAGCGCCCCTTTGGAAGGGAGTTGAGATGGGTTGAGATGGGCTGCAACGTGATTGTGAGGAGCATCACAGTCGGGGTACGGGGTGGTCATGGACAGCGGTACCACCTTCTCCTACCTTCCCCGCAAGGCCTTTGAAGCCTTCAAGGCTGCTGTGAGTGCAAGCGCCCCTTTGGAAGGGAGTTGAGATGGGTTGAGATGGGCTGCAACGTGATTGTGAGGAGCATCACAGTCGGGGTACGGGGTGGTCATGGACAGCGGTACCACCTTCTCCTACCTTCCCCGCAAGGCCTTTGAAGCCTTCAAGGCTGCTGTGAGTGCAAGCGCCCCTTTGGAAGGGAGTTGAGATGGGTTGAGATGGGCTGCAACGTGATTGTGAGGAGCATCACAGTCGGGGTACGGGGTGGTCATGGACAGCGGTACCACCTTCTCCTACCTTCCCCGCAAGGCCTTTGAAGCCTTCAAGGCTGCTGTGAGTGCAAGCGCCCCTTTGGAAGGGAGTTGAGATGGGTTGAGATGGGCTGCAACGTGATTGTGAGGAGCATCACAGTCGGGGTACGGGGTGGTCATGGACAGCGGTACCACCTTCTCCTACCTTCCCCGCAAGGCCTTTGAAGCCTTCAAGGCTGCTGTGAGTGCAAGCGCCCCTTTGGAAGGGAGTTGAGATGGGTTGAGATGGGCTGCAACGTGATTGTGAGGAGCATCACAGTCGGGGTACGGGGTGGTCATGGACAGCGGTACCACCTTCTCCTACCTTCCCCGCAAGGCCTTTGAAGCCTTCAAGGCTGCTGTGAGTGCAAGCGCCCCTTTGGAAGGGAGTTGAGATGGGTTGAGATGGGCTGCAACGTGATTGTGAGGAGCATCACAGTCGGGGTACGGGGTGGTCATGGACAGCGGTACCACCTTCTCCTACCTTCCCCGCAAGGCCTTTGAAGCCTTCAAGGCTGCTGTGAGTGCAAGCGCCCCTTTGGAAGGGAGTTGAGATGGGTTGAGATGGGCTGCAACGTGATTGTGAGGAGCATCACAGTCGGGGTACGGGGTGGTCATGGACAGCGGTACCACCTTCTCCTACCTTCCCCGCAAGGCCTTTGAAGCCTTCAAGGCTGCTGTGAGTGCAAGCGCCCCTTTGGAAGGGAGTTGAGATGGGTTGAGATGGGCTGCAACGTGATTGTGAGGAGCATCACAGTCGGGGTACGGGGTGGTCATGGACAGCGGTACCACCTTCTCCTACCTTCCCCGCAAGGCCTTTGAAGCCTTCAAGGCTGCTGTGAGTGCAAGCGCCCCTTTGGAAGGGAGTTGAGATGGGTTGAGATGGGCTGCAACGTGATTGTGAGGAGCATCACAGTCGGGGTACGGGGTGGTCATGGACAGCGGTACCACCTTCTCCTACCTTCCCCGCAAGGCCTTTGAAGCCTTCAAGGCTGCTGTGAGTGCAAGCGCCCCTTTGGAAGGGAGTTGAGATGGGTTGAGATGGGCTGCAACGTGATTGTGAGGAGCATCACAGTCGGGGTACGGGGTGGTCATGGACAGCGGTACCACCTTCTCCTACCTTCCCCGCAAGGCCTTTGAAGCCTTCAAGGCTGCTGTGAGTGCAAGCGCCCCTTTGGAAGGGAGTTGAGATGGGTTGAGATGGGCTGCAACGTGATTGTGAGGAGCATCACAGTCGGGGTACGGGGTGGTCATGGACAGCGGTACCACCTTCTCCTACCTTCCCCGCAAGGCCTTTGAAGCCTTCAAGGCTGCTGTGAGTGCAAGCGCCCCTTTGGAAGGGAGTTGAGATGGGTTGAGATGGGCTGCAACGTGATTGTGAGGAGCATCACAGTCGGGGTACGGGGTGGTCATGGACAGCGGTACCACCTTCTCCTACCTTCCCCGCAAGGCCTTTGAAGCCTTCAAGGCTGCTGTGAGTGCAAGCGCCCCTTTGGAAGGGAGTTGAGATGGGTTGAGATGGGCTGCAACGTGATTGTGAGGAGCATCACAGTCGGGGTACGGGGTGGTCATGGACAGCGGTACCACCTTCTCCTACCTTCCCCGCAAGGCCTTTGAAGCCTTCAAGGCTGCTGTGAGTGCAAGCGCCCCTTTGGAAGGGAGTTGAGATGGGTTGAGATGGGCTGCAACGTGATTGTGAGGAGCATCACAGTCGGGGTACGGGGTGGTCATGGACAGCGGTACCACCTTCTCCTACCTTCCCCGCAAGGCCTTTGAAGCCTTCAAGGCTGCTGTGAGTGCAAGCGCCCCTTTGGAAGGGAGTTGAGATGGGTTGAGATGGGCTGCAACGTGATTGTGAGGAGCATCACAGTCGGGGTACGGGGTGGTCATGGACAGCGGTACCACCTTCTCCTACCTTCCCCGCAAGGCCTTTGAAGCCTTCAAGGCTGCTGTGAGTGCAAGCGCCCCTTTGGAAGGGAGTTGAGATGGGTTGAGATGGGCTGCAACGTGATTGTGAGGAGCATCACAGTCGGGGTACGGGGTGGTCATGGACAGCGGTACCACCTTCTCCTACCTTCCCCGCAAGGCCTTTGAAGCCTTCAAGGCTGCTGTGAGTGCAAGCGCCCCTTTGGAAGGGAGTTGAGATGGGTTGAGATGGGCTGCAACGTGATTGTGAGGAGCATCACAGTCGGGGTACGGGGTGGTCATGGACAGCGGTACCACCTTCTCCTACCTTCCCCGCAAGGCCTTTGAAGCCTTCAAGGCTGCTGTGAGTGCAAGCGCCCCTTTGGAAGGGAGTTGAGATGGGTTGAGATGGGCTGCAACGTGATTGTGAGGAGCATCACAGTCGGGGTACGGGGTGGTCATGGACAGCGGTACCACCTTCTCCTACCTTCCCCGCAAGGCCTTTGAAGCCTTCAAGGCTGCTGTGAGTGCAAGCGCCCCTTTGGAAGGGAGTTGAGATGGGTTGAGATGGGCTGCAACGTGATTGTGAGGAGCATCACAGTCGGGGTACGGGGTGGTCATGGACAGCGGTACCACCTTCTCCTACCTTCCCCGCAAGGCCTTTGAAGCCTTCAAGGCTGCTGTGAGTGCAAGCGCCCCTTTGGAAGGGAGTTGAGATGGGTTGAGATGGGCTGCAACGTGATTGTGAGGAGCATCACAGTCGGGGTACGGGGTGGTCATGGACAGCGGTACCACCTTCTCCTACCTTCCCCGCAAGGCCTTTGAAGCCTTCAAGGCTGCTGTGAGTGCAAGCGCCCCTTTGGAAGGGAGTTGAGATGGGTTGAGATGGGCTGCAACGTGATTGTGAGGAGCATCACAGTCGGGGTACGGGGTGGTCATGGACAGCGGTACCACCTTCTCCTACCTTCCCCGCAAGGCCTTTGAAGCCTTCAAGGCTGCTGTGAGTGCAAGCGCCCCTTTGGAAGGGAGTTGAGATGGGTTGAGATGGGCTGCAACGTGATTGTGAGGAGCATCACAGTCGGGGTACGGGGTGGTCATGGACAGCGGTACCACCTTCTCCTACCTTCCCCGCAAGGCCTTTGAAGCCTTCAAGGCTGCTGTGAGTGCAAGCGCCCCTTTGGAAGGGAGTTGAGATGGGTTGAGATGGGCTGCAACGTGATTGTGAGGAGCATCACAGTCGGGGTACGGGGTGGTCATGGACAGCGGTACCACCTTCTCCTACCTTCCCCGCAAGGCCTTTGAAGCCTTCAAGGCTGCTGTGAGTGCAAGCGCCCCTTTGGAAGGGAGTTGAGATGGGTTGAGATGGGCTGCAACGTGATTGTGAGGAGCATCACAGTCGGGGTACGGGGTGGTCATGGACAGCGGTACCACCTTCTCCTACCTTCCCCGCAAGGCCTTTGAAGCCTTCAAGGCTGCTGTGAGTGCAAGCGCCCCTTTGGAAGGGAGTTGAGATGGGTTGAGATGGGCTGCAACGTGATTGTGAGGAGCATCACAGTCGGGGTACGGGGTGGTCATGGACAGCGGTACCACCTTCTCCTACCTTCCCCGCAAGGCCTTTGAAGCCTTCAAGGCTGCTGTGAGTGCAAGCGCCCCTTTGGAAGGGAGTTGAGATGGGTTGAGATGGGCTGCAACGTGATTGTGAGGAGCATCACAGTCGGGGTACGGGGTGGTCATGGACAGCGGTACCACCTTCTCCTACCTTCCCCGCAAGGCCTTTGAAGCCTTCAAGGCTGCTGTGAGTGCAAGCGCCCCTTTGGAAGGGAGTTGAGATGGGTTGAGATGGGCTGCAACGTGATTGTGAGGAGCATCACAGTCGGGGTACGGGGTGGTCATGGACAGCGGTACCACCTTCTCCTACCTTCCCCGCAAGGCCTTTGAAGCCTTCAAGGCTGCTGTGAGTGCAAGCGCCCCTTTGGAAGGGAGTTGAGATGGGTTGAGATGGGCTGCAACGTGATTGTGAGGAGCATCACAGTCGGGGTACGGGGTGGTCATGGACAGCGGTACCACCTTCTCCTACCTTCCCCGCAAGGCCTTTGAAGCCTTCAAGGCTGCTGTGAGTGCAAGCGCCCCTTTGGAAGGGAGTTGAGATGGGTTGAGATGGGCTGCAACGTGATTGTGAGGAGCATCACAGTCGGGGTACGGGGTGGTCATGGACAGCGGTACCACCTTCTCCTACCTTCCCCGCAAGGCCTTTGAAGCCTTCAAGGCTGCTGTGAGTGCAAGCGCCCCTTTGGAAGGGAGTTGAGATGGGTTGAGATGGGCTGCAACGTGATTGTGAGGAGCATCACAGTCGGGGTACGGGGTGGTCATGGACAGCGGTACCACCTTCTCCTACCTTCCCCGCAAGGCCTTTGAAGCCTTCAAGGCTGCTGTGAGTGCAAGCGCCCCTTTGGAAGGGAGTTGAGATGGGTTGAGATGGGCTGCAACGTGATTGTGAGGAGC